ATTTCATCAAAGATTTGTTTCATTTCATTTACAGAAGTTGCTAAATCTTAATCTTAAAAGATAAATTAGCCTAGACATTTTTAGTTTAATTAGGCCAGGTTATGCCTACATAGTACAATTCTACATTACATAATAGATAGTACATGTCATAATCATTATTTTATTTATGGGCGCTAGTTATTATTTATTATATTTATATTATTATTATATAATATAAAAATAATGAGAAATTTAAAACGTGTATCCTAAATTAAATTAGGTGGTATGCAGGTGAAGAAGTTTCACTAGTATTATTATGATTATAAATTATAGATAACTTAGATTAGTCATTCATTATTATTTATTATTAGTAAAGTTCACATTGTGAAAAAATGAAGGACACAAGAAAAGATCTATTTCAACTCAAGAATGGATGGGAAAGCAATAAAGTGCAATTAATTCTGGCAACGGACATTTTAAAAGTAAAATTGAATTGACATCTTTTGTGGGAACAAGATAACAACATCAGCATTGTCCTAACGCAACTACTGACAATAGTGGATTGGCCGGGGCATAATAATATTAGGGTTAAAAAAACACAGAAACTCATCTGATCTGAGCTACTAATCTAGTCTTCTTCCGCTATCTTAAAAGAGCTTCACTTTTGCCTACCTTCAGATAGCTCAAGATCGAGCTCAGCAAGTCGCTCCCGTACGTCCTCTGGAAGTCTTGATACGTCGACATCGGTATCTGCCATCTTCCCAAAGTAATCCAAATTATAAATCCTTCAAAACGATTCTTACATTTTGCATCTATTGATCAAGAGTTTCGCCATCTTGTTCTATTTTACCACACCTAAGAATCGCGAGACTCAACGAGAAGGCATTTTAACTTGCATTGTGCCTGAAAGTGCCAGATTTTATTTTCAAAGCAAGAATTATGAATTATGATTAGCAAATATATAAAAACTAAATTATATATTGATCTTGACAATATTTTTTTTCTAAATATGAGTAAATAAATTTATTTTATTTGTGATTTTTTAAACATAGAAATTTAATATAATTATTAGTTAACCCTTGATGCTTCAATACCGTGATCCAATTCAAATAGACTGTATTTCATATTGAACAAATTTATAATTTAAATTATTTATTTATTTACTATCTTAAAAAAATGATGTTGTTCATTTAAGCCCCCAAAACTCAGTTTCCTATTTTAATAGTAACTTCAAAAGGGTAAAAGCTAGCTGGCAAAAAGAAATAATGACATCATCTATGTAAACTCAATCTGACATACACTATGACAACGTGTCTTTATTGTGTGCAGATTTCTAACCTGTTCAAGAAATAAAAACAAAATAACTTTAAACTCCCTTATGACTTATGTAATTGATGCAAGTGACGAAGAGGGTACTAGATGTGGGCTACCTGTTCGCTTAACCGGAATGCAAAAAGTAAAGGAAATAAATTATTTGAAACTGATGTTAAATTGAATCAATGTTGAACAGGGGCTGTCTGAAGAAAAAAAATCAATAGCATTTTTGTGTACTAAGGTATGAAAAAAGAAAATAAATTGATATTTTACTGAAGATTCGCCATTGAATTCTATACTTTTATTTTGAGCTCGTTATATTCATGCCACCACAAGCCTGTCTTAAATTTCGCATTTCTAACCAAAATAGTTGTTAAATTAATTTTTTTTCGTTGGAGGTTGTCCCTAAAAAAAAAAAAAAAAAAAAAAAAAAGCCAATGTGACCAGGAGTATAGTTTATTACGTATTGTATTGAAGTAAGGAACCTAATAAATGCCCCACGTTACAAAGATGTCTGATGAGTAAAAATGTCAGTGCTTTCCTTGGGCAAAAATGCGCAAATGTTACCAGTGTCATCAGTTATAAATTTGAACGTCACTAAAATTGAAGAGACCCCCTCTATCCCCCCAAAAAATATAAATAATGCAAATGAAATAAAATCATCTTCAGCGCACTGAGTAGCCTCGTATATTTATATTATGATCCCACCCTCCTCACACGCACAGTTTGTAGAGCCTCTAGTAAAGAAATACCTTACAAGTAACCAAGAAAGGCAACATATTTGTAACTAAATAAAATATTTGTAATAAAATAAAATATTTACCCCAACTGTTAAGATTTACTTTAAAAAAATAATGACTTGCCATACTATAGTGCAGGGGTCGGGAACATATTTTGAAAAGTAATTCTGTGAGAGCCATACATTATGTTTAAAACTAAAAATTCAAGTAAATTTACCACTTCTGATGCTGAGCTGCAGTAGACTTTAGCTCATTTGTGGAATGAAATAATGATATGAAATTAATATGTAGATCAAAGGAGTCTTAAGAAATTTAAAAAAAAAAATAATGGAACATTTGTCTGCGAGACAGATGCAGTCATCAATAGAGCCACATCTGGCTCGTGAGCCATAGGTTCCCGACCCCTGCTATAGGGGAAACATTAGGCCTACTTATTATAATACATGATTATATTTATTTCAAATTTAGTTAAGTTTTGTAATTAATGTAATGCAAACTACGTTTGATTTTATTTTTTTCATTTTTCATAGTAAAGGGGAAACAAACATTAATTCTTTTAGCCATAATTAAAGCATTATTATGTACCTTGTTCAGTTTGAACTTAGTATTATTTTGACCATTTATTAATCGTTATGTGATCAACTATTATTATATAAGTCCTTGATCAGCTTTTTAAAACTGTACAACCAAAGACTTAAGGGCGGTCGTGACGTCAAGAATCAAGCGTCTTTTTCTATAATGTAATAATTTTAGCAAACCCAGACATTAAACTTTTGCGAACTGCACCAGCCAGAATCATCGCGTGACAATTAGAGCCCCCCCCCCCCTGAAACTTTTCGTTCGTTCTCCTTTTCTTGTTTTTTCACATGAAAGCTTTGGGCCCCTTAAATATTCGAGGCTCTCTGCAGCCGCAGGGTTGCAGAGAACACGTTGCGGCACTTAGTCTGTACGCTTTGGCTGGCTTGACTCGTATGCAAGCGCTATGCCATGTAAATCAATGTCCAATTAATGCGTGGAAAAAAAAAAAACATCTGATGAAAGACAGGCCCAATTATGCTTTTCAAAGAATACCCTGAAATATTTGAAATCATATTAAATTTACATTTATGTTAACAAATGCGTTGTTTTTTTCTACCACGGCGCGCACAAGACTTGGAAATTCAAAGACTGGGCGGATGACGAATAAATTTCTTTACACACAAAAATAATTTTGAGCGCATTTATTTTAATAAAATACATAATAAAACCCCAACAATCTTAAACACATTGTAGGTAATTAAAACAATTTTATTATAATTTTAATATAGCTATAATTACTATATACAAATAAAGAATAAAGTTTTTCTTTGAAATGTATCGCATCTGCTAGCAGGTTTATCAACCACATGATAATTTGCCCAGTTCGTTATCATTATTACAAAAAGTATTTTGCCTGCTCCATTGATTTCAGAGACATTAAAATGACGTCATCAATTGTTGCGTTTTTCTCGTCTCTCAACCTATAATATTTTGTAACGTTGCCACTCTTTGGAATATTTACTTTTNTTTTTTTTTTTTCCCCCCTTCGGTTTAGCACATATAAATTACATGGTTTGTGGGTCCTGCTCCCTCCACGTTAATAATATTGTTAAAACCTGTTTTTTTTTTTTTAAATTTGATATTTTAAAAAAATATATTAATTAGACTACACTAGATTTTTCAAAAGTATTTGATACATATTAAAGCACTGCAATTTATAATTTTAAAGATTACTTAAACATGCTGCAAATTAAAGCGTGCCTTTAAAAAAATCTCCCATTTTCATAAATTGTCATAGTTTTGCTTGTCAAATTGTCGGGCCCTGTTTTTCGGGAGCCTAATTGTCGGGGGCCTTTTTGCCGGGGGCCTTTAGTCAAGACAATTTTGATGGGGGCGAATAGTGCACCCACAACCACTAAGGAGTACACGAGCTTTTCGAATGTTTAAAAAATAATACTTTTTTTTTTTTTACAAATTTGCCTGAAACAATTATCCATAAAAAATGAAACAAAAGGCCTGCATTGAATTAGAGCCTTTTGGCGTGTCAAAGTCATCAACAACTTTAGTAACTTTTAATGGGTGAAACGTGGTAAAATCAGTAACTCTGTAACCATGTTGCTAGCATGTTGAGTATAATATATTGAATATTTTATTTAAGTATGTCAGGAAGTAAGAAAATAAAAAAAAAAAAAAAAAAAAAAAAAAAAAAACAAAAAAAAAAAAAAAAAAAACAAAGAACAAAAAAAA